GGATTGCTATCGTGATAAGCAGCCACAGTTGGAGTATTGAACTTAACGTGATTCTCGTTATTCCAATTTCTGACATATACATTAGATATTTATTAATAACTTCATTTCTGGACATTTATGGTTTGATTTCTTTGTATGTATGGATCACTTGGGTTGTTACCAACATCTGGTGAAAATTTCATGTCATTAGCGCCTCTAGTAATATATTTACTGAGAAAAATGGTGACGTGTTCAATACTTATTTTACCCGCTTTAATAATGCATTAGACTCATTGCTTTTTTTAGACATTCAAAGATGCTTTACAATTTCATGCATCATTCAAGTGTTGAGTAAGTGTGGCTGCCAGTGTGCACCTACAGTCCCTCAAGACCACAGCAGTCACACCGAAAGTACAATACACGGGGGAAGTTGGGTAAAGTGTCTTGCCCAACACAACAACAGAATGCGCTCGGGCAGGGATCTGAACCTGCGATTCTCTGGTTTTAAGGTAAATGCCTACTCCCTGCACCACTAATCTATATCTATACCCATTTTACAAGTACTTTTAACTCTACATAGTCACTACATCAAGGACAAGGCTTGGAATATAATTATTAATTAAGGAGCTCTAATTCTAATCTGAGTTTTTCATCTGTTATTTGTAATATTTGTACTAGTTCACTGAATTGAAAATAATGTGTTACAAAAAAACTAGAAACACTTTTGTATAAAACAATTTAACAAAGGTAGAAATTTATTAATAGAACAAAGAGAGTCAATGTCTAAAACAGTTTAACTTTGGTCTTAAATGAGATGAGTCCATGTTAAAATGAGGACTAGTTAGGATCTAAACAGAGTTGCARTGGTGCTGAAACATGTCTAGTATACATAAACAGCAACACTAGAAGGTCAAAAATATTATTCTCCTCTGCATATTGCCACTTATTTTATATTTTAGGGGTGTAGTGTGTAATTTAAAATGGATGCCAACTACACAAACAAACAAACAAAAATAGTAATTATTATCTACTTYATGTAGTTAAATTTTGTGAAGAGAGTAAGTAATTATAACCTTAAGGGTAACCTTAAGGGCATAGAGATGTTTGTAAAGCCTAAAATTCAAACAAATTTGAAGGATCGATGTACTTCAGTTCAAGGAATAAGATTGTGGAAGAATCTGGAAAGTGATTATAAAAATGCTGGCTCAATAAATTTATTTAAGAGAATGATAAAAGTTAGATTGTGGAAGAAATATGAATTTGTATAATGTGCATTCATAAGAACTGTTGTTCGAGAAAGAGTTAAAGTTTTTGCTATGTTTTGTTATTTGAAGACTATTATTGTTTCAATTTATTTAATTTTGAAAAAGGGGCAGATATCAATAAGAAT